ATATATATATTATATATATATCATATATATATATACATATCGTCCTCACGTTTAAACAGACGTTGACCGTTTCTGAGAAGGTTTGACCGGTTTTACCCGGTCTGGAAAATCGAACGACTCTACCAGAAGCTCAACCCTTACAACAACGAATGATAAGACCATGTTTGAATGAACAACACGGTGTCCGGTCACTATCGTACCCGTACGACCATTCTGTCAATATGTAACATCAACAGCGGTCGAAGTCCTGTAGAGGTTGATTTGCCGGAAACTCTTTAAGGTCAGGCCAATGGCCAAGGCGGGTGTCGGTGACTTTGTTGAGACCAAGTCCCAGTGTTTGCTAGACGACTACCGCCGACTTGGGACCAAGGGGGTAGAGAGGAGTAGGAGGACCTAGGACTTGACTGACGTCGTAAGCGGTGAAAGCCGGGTATTGTAGCGAGGAGTCGCGGAGGTTATGTGGTAGCCTGAGAGACTGAGGCGGGACTCACAAGGTCAGGTGGACAGACCTTCCTTGTCTCATGCAGAGGACCTCCCGCTCCAGGGTGCTGTGTGGACAGTGGGCACCCACAGGGGAGTTCCCAGCCAGGAGCCCGGGTGAGATAAGTTGGAGGACATGTGAGAACGGGGAACCGGCACTGTAGTCGGTCGTACCTTATAGTAAGGTAACGCGATGCGACTACTGTGCGTCAAAATATTTCTGTCTAGGGATAGGGTAGTTTGGAAGAGTCTTTGCCAGTTGCAAGACAATTTGCACTCCTGCTATACATATATATATATATATATATATATAGACTATAAAGAGAGTTTCATCCCTCCAATTATATTCTGTCTATCTATCTATCTAAATCTGTGGCAGTTTAGAGAAATTGCTTGAAAGAAAATTACACTTCATACATAACATTTCTTAACTATTTAACTACATTTGAACATTATTTGGAGGTCTGTCTACAAACATTTTACTATAGTCAAACAGGATTTCTCAATTAAATTACTATTATAAATGTGAGGCAACTTTTGATCAGTTAAGGACTTAAAGCCATGCACTCACTTTTTAATGCATCCAAGTAAACACACAAAGAAAGTCCAATAGAAAAACCAAAGTCAAGAGGAATACATTTCTCTTCATCTTTGAAATCATAATTTAAAATTGGAAGAACAATAGATATTTTAAGGGAAGAAACAGCTCCGGCTTATAGCTGGGCCAAGACTTTAGTTTGGGCAGAGGTGGGTTCTTTTAATATTCAGCAGCAGGACAGAAGATACCCTGGGATGACCCTTTGGCAGTAGGTGGCATCTAGTTACAGAACATTTGTAAACCAATGTGTAAAAAACAAGCTAAAAAGAACAATTGCAGCCATCATCGACCCGTTTGGGAAAATTGTGTTTTTCCTCATTTAACCTTAAAACCTTGAAATACACAACTAACAGTAAAGCCAGCAAGCGTAACAAAAACAATGTGTGGGTAATTGTGTTGTTTGTATGTTCTTCTGATTTGACTCATTAAGTAAATGTCTGCATCAGAAGTGGGTATGCTGAGTCTTGCAATGTTACCCTGCAGTCTTGTGGGTAATGATAAGAAAACAAAGAGAAACAATGTTCCTAATGAGAGAGTCTACAGCTGTCCATGCATTGTGAGCACGTACTGACAAAACAACTATGGGTCTTATTTAATAACCACAGGTGAACCTGATCCATTGCATTAGACATTCCATCTTATTACTTGCCTGCTCCCTTATTGGCTATGGGTGACTAAAGAACAAAAACAATGCTAATACCACCTGACAATTTTGGAGGCATACATCACAGGATCTGTTTATGGTGTGAGACAGTATCTCCAGCTCCAATTAAGCATGCCAGAATGAGTTGCAGTGTGGACCACAGCAGCCCGGCTCAGAGTTATGGATGAGCAGTCACTCTAGCAATGCCTGACCCTGAGCACTAATTAGATATGACATTAAAATAACATGAGCCAA